AGTGCTTGGCCTTAAAGGAGGAGATGCACGCCATGCTAGAGACAGGGCTTATGTGAGACGTCTGAACTGACCTGCAAGTCTGACAGCCCGTCTTGACTTTGTGATGATATGCCCGTCGTGGTCGGCTTACACCAGCTGTGGCCACTTTGGACAGAATGTCGACCATGGCGCATGCCACCTATGTAGTCTCTTTCGTCTGTGGAGGTTTTCGGGTCAAAGCGAGCGGACCAATTGGACCATCACTTAACAACCCAAGCGATTTGCCAAGAAGAGCTATTTGTACTGGAGTATCTACGATGGAATGGGTAATGCAATCATTTGATGCCAACCAGGTCGCTGCCAATAATAAAGTGGAATTTGGTAATGGGCAGTTCTAAGCACTAAGCCTCGGATTATCGATGTCCCGGCAGGGTCATCTTACACATCCTCAATTATTACTAGCACTGTCAAGGCACGAACCCTAAATTGCCAAGGCGTAGATTGAACGACCCGGCCAATCACAACACAAGGTCAACAGAGCCGGATGCTCATTTGTCTGTACATACCGTCTTCATTAACGGAATCTCATTACAGCTACACGAGCTCAGGTGGCAATGTGTTGAGCGAGCCGACCACTCAGATAGTTTGCTACATGTTCTAGCATAAAACAACAACTCTTGGCCAAATCATGTCTGTGTTGACACGTGTGTCCATTGACCGTACCCATGAGCCTTATTCTATAAAATTGAGGACGTTCCAATCTCCAAATCATTCGTCACTCGTCTCTCATTCTCTCACTAAGCTTTCTTCCAGTCCCATCATGAACTATCTTACCCTTGCCCTTTCTCTGGGTCTTGCTGTCCTGCCACAACAGGCCAATACTCAAGAGACCCCATGCCCTTTCCTAGGTGCCATCTTTCCGCCTGTCCAGCATCCACTCAAGTCTGGTGATTTCTCAGATACCATTGTCCAGCTCAGCGCCACCTTCAACAACCTTGATCGCAATGGCACTCTTGAGGGTTTCAACACTACCTTCTACGTCCAGGCCTTCTCTGCTTCGGATACTCTCTTCCAGCATGGATACGTCCCGTCCTCCATGAAAGGCTTCTTGACTTCAGGGAGTCTCAACGAGGATACTGTGTTCCGTGTGGGCAGCGTTTCGAAGCTTCTTACTGTCTATACACTACTCGCCGAGGTTGGGATAAAGCACATGAACGATCCGGTGACGAAGTGGGTGCCTGAGCTCGCTCTTGCGGCCAGGAATAACAAAGGCGACCCCACCCGCAAGGTACAGTGGGACGAGGTTACTATTGGGCAGCTTGCTGGCCATATGGCCGGCATCAGCCGAAACTGTGAGTACCTCCCTGATTAGAGGCAAAATCGATTCATCTAATACTATCGTGTAGTCGGATTCTTCGATATGAGCTCCATCATTGAGTCAGCTCACCAGAGTCCTGAATTATATGGTCTCCCAATGCTGAACAAGAAAGAAAGTCCACACTGCAGTGTCTCAGACCAATCTCTGAAGCCCTGCTCCCGCAAAGGTTCATATCTCTGCCCAGCTTGTTGATCATGTTTGCTGATATCTAGCCCACAGATTTCTTCCAGGGCATCATGACCCAAAGCTTCTTCCCTATCACATCCACTGCGAACACCCCGGTGTACTCCAACGCCGCGTACCAAATACTTGCCTATGCTCTCGAGGGCATGACTGGAAAGCCATTCAGCAAGTCCTTTCGATCATCGCTGCTCAATCCTCTGTCCATGAGGCGTACAAGCCTCGAGGCACCTAAGAGAAAGGACAACGCTATGGTCCCCGAGAATGAGCAGCTCTCGTGGTGGAACATCACTACAGCAGATGGCAGTCCGTGAGTGCAGTCACCCTCATTTACACAGCTCGTTCGGTTAACCATACATAGCTATGGAGGCATGTTTTCTACAGCTGCAGACCTCACAAGCCTTGGTCAATCTATCCTCAGCTCTTCTATACTCAGCCCCTCCGAAACTCGGTCTTGGATGAAACCTATCTCTCATACCGCGGACATTCACATGTCTGTTGGTATGCCTTGGGAGATTAGACGTACGTACGTCCCCCTCGGCCGCAGTGGAACCCGAATTGTTGATCTTTACACGAAGAACGGCGCCATTGGACTTTACACTGCAATTATCGTCCTTTCACCTGACCACGGTATTGGTTTCGTGGCGCTGATGGCAGGAGCTAACCGTGCATATCTATTGAGCTACATTCCTGACCTCCTCGTGCAAACACTGCTGCCAGCAGCCGAGAACGCGGCCCGTCATAACGCCGTCAAGCGTTTTGCTGGAACTTTCAAGGGCCCCAAGAGCCAGCTGATGGTCACTATGGACGATACTCTCGTGGTACGGAACTGGACCCGAGGTGATGTTGACGTGATAGCCACGCAAGCCGCGCTCACGTGGCCTGGATTGGATGTGACACCAGTGCTCAGACTATACCCGATGGGATTGGAAGGAAATAGGAGAATGTCTTTCAGAGCTGTCTTGGAAGCCCAAGCCGTAAATGACTCCACAGAAGAGGCTGAAACCAATGAGACAGATGCTAGCTCTGGTCCTTTCAGTGGCGGGTGCTTGTCATGGGGAGGAGTTGACTCATTGACCTATGGCAACATTGGGGTTGATGATTTCGAATTTGAGGTTGACGGGGAAGGTAACGCAACCGGACTTATTCCAAGGGTCATGAGGGAAACTCTTGAAAAGGTTGATTAAGCCTCGTATTAGATTTAGACCTCCTAACCCATAACTCCCGCGCCTACATCCGCCTTAATTCTAGCCTGGATACAATCTCCTGTTATATATAATATCACTTCAAAGCGAGAACCGCCATTTATCTCCTTCAACTGCCGCTTCAACATGATCCTCTTCTGACTCTGCCTTAGCCGCAAGTTTCTTGTTAAGCCAAAGATACTGCGTATTGGACACCATGGCAAATACCAAGGCAATGGATGCTAGTGTGAGAATAACCGTGAACCCTGTTCTGTAGAGTGGCGCATCATGTGCTTGGAAGATTTGAGCACCTGCCAAACCAGCTGCATTGGCAGTCATAATAAGGAGGGCCATGGTGATGGACCGTTCTGCAGGATTCCGAATGTTGACGGCAAGCCAGGAACCGTTCAAAGGATGGGCGGCGGATCCCCAAAGTGTTGTGCAGGTAAGGATGCCATATTTGAGATCGCGATTCGTGCTTGTGGCCAGTTGTCTAGTAGCGAGACAGAATGCGAAACTGAGGATAGTGGCGAGAAGAACTAGGAGACCTCGCCTCTGGGTTTTGTCTGCAATCCATCCAAATGACAGATTGAGCACGATGACAATCCAGCCGCCAACAGATGACAGTGCGTTTGCTTGAAGGCGATCGTAGCCGTAGCTTGCAATGATGGAAGGTTGGTATGTTCCGAGTGGCGAGATAATGGCGATGCAGCAGAAGCTAACAGTCAGCTGCGGGTAAATACACCACCTGGAGAACGCGGACTTGATGTCCACCCACTTGACATATTTGTGTCTTGAGCCTTGGGTAGGATTGTCAATGATGACACGGTTGGTGAGAATGTGAATTTCTCTTGGAGTGAAGTACAGGTGACCAAAGATATTTGACGGGTTCGCAGGAGAGTGCGGCATGAGGAAGGCGAAAACAATACCGATAACTATTGTGATGATACCCTCAAGAAGGAACATCCACTGCCAGCCAGAAAGACCGGATATACCTCTCATCTGAAGGATACCATAGGCAATGAGACCACTGGCCGCCGAAGCAATCATATTACCAAGGAAGAAGGCGGTAAAGCGTCTGCTAGTCTCGTTGCGTTTGTACCACTGCGTCAGAGTGTACAAGCCAGCAGGAATGAAACCGGCTTCCAAAAGGCCGAGTAACAGTCTAGTAGCATAATATGCCCCAACACCTTTTCCTTTGATGAATGCTTGAAAGGTAGCGACCAAGCCCCAGCAAAGGATTTGGCAGCTGATCCACTTTTGGGGACCCAAGCGATAGAGAACAAGGTTGCTCGGCAGCTCTAGCAATACGATTCCCAGGCTGAGGAGCTGATTTCCAATATTGAATTGAAATTGAGTGATGCCCACTTCGGGGAGGAAAAAGTCTGTGAGGGCATTTCCGATGTTTCCGCGGTCGAGCTGCAAAACGAAGAAGCCTGCGATGAGCAGAGGCATGATAAGAAGGTCGAGCTTGCGAACGAGAGCCCGTTCTTCCGTCTCGGACCAATCAATGGAACGCCGCTCGTCAGGGCCATTGGAGTCATTTTCTCGACTCGAACTGTAGTCATCCACAGTGGATGGAAGTGGTTCCTTTTCGATCATCATGTCTGAGGGTGTGATTGAGAGAACAAGGTAGGTGTTGATGAAGCATTTACGGCACATGGCAAACAGCTCATAATAAATAATTCTTGCAACGAACCTCCCTAACATCTCGCCATCAAGACGCGGCATTTCGCAATACTCGAAAGTCCAATCTATCGCACTCACATCTTCGTGAACTCACAAACCAGCTGAATAGAGCAATCTGTATTACCTGGCAATGATGGAAGTCGCTGCGTTGTTGAATCGAACGAACCAATGAAGCCATGATCCGAGCGACAGCCCGGTCTTTTTGGCTTGCTTAGCGTTATCATCAACGAGGGCTAGCTTCGATCTGTCAAACGCCATCGGCATGTGAATCTTGCGTGCTTGTAAATATTGAATCTGGGGCCAATGGTAGCATCATCCGAGGCACACTAAAAGTTGGAGTTAGTTAGTGAGTGGGGGCGCCGTCTTGACAGAAATGGAGCTTTGCATTTACAACCAGACGCTTCATTCTCGCTGACCGATCTCAAGGTGAGTACGTATCGGGTTTCGGCAGGGTATCGCTACGGCCGTGATACAAGTGGTGGTGCGCGTGGTTGTTTACATATATAAAATACCTCCTCCTTCTGACCTCATGGTCGAGCCCATACCAGTCCCTCTCCGTCCTTAAAATCCTTACACTCTATACTACAATTATGGTTGTTGCGAAAAGACCAAATTTTCTTGTCATCGTCGCCGATGATCTTGGCTTCAGTGATACAAAGCCATATGGCTCCGAGATAGACACACCTGTCTTGGACCGCCTCTCCAAAGATGGCACACGCATGACCAACTTCCATACTGCTCAGGCATGCTCACCTACACGAGCAATGCTTCTTTCTGGTACAGACAACCATATTGCCGGGCTTGGCCAGATGGCAGAATTCGCCGAGATGAAGAAGAACCTCACCGGAAAGTATCCTGACTACGTTGACAAGCCTGGCTACGAAGGCTATCTCAACTGGAAAGTGGCTGCTCTGCCCGAGATTCTTTCCGACGCAGGATATTTGACTCTAATGTCTGGTAAATGGCATCTTGGGATGACTCCTGACGTGTCCCCGAGTGCAAGAGGCTTCAAGAAGAGTTTTGGCTTTTTGCCTGGTTGTGGCAACCACTTTAACTATGAACCGCAGTTCGAGCCCAACCAAGATACTATGCTCTTGACCTCTGATGGATTCTGGATGGAGAATGAGAGTCCATTAGATAGAAAGAAAGACCTACCTGAAGACTTTTACTCTACCAACTTCTTCACAGATAAGCTTCTTGACATGTTAAGCAACAGAACCAAAGAGGAAAGGGAGCAGCCCTTCTTCTCGTATCTGGCTTACACGGCACCTCATTGGCCAATGCAAGCGCCACAAGATGTTATAAACAAATACAGTAAGCCCCCCGCCCTATGCGTCCAAGCAGCCATACTGACGAGTCCAGGCGGAAAATACGACAATGGACCCGACCAGCTGAGACTAGATAGGCTGGCCAAACTGAAAGAGTTGGGTCTTGTGCCATCTGATGTCGAAGCGGCTCCTCCTGTTGGTTTCGAAGCCGGTGTGAAGTGGGAAGACCTCACTGATCATGAGCGAGCTGTGTCGGCTAGGAAGATGGAAGTTTATGCAGCCATGGTTGACCTCCTTGACCAGAACATTGGGAGAGTTGTGGATGCACTTGAAGCATCCGGCGAACTGGACAACACTTTCATTTTGTTCATGTCAGACAATGGCGCAGAGGGATCTACGTTGGAAGCTGCACCTGTTGGTCATCCTTATCCACGAATGCAGAAGTTGATGCTGACCGTCAGACTTAGCTCTTATCATCGTTCAAGACGCTTGGTGAACTGATAGATGCACACTATGACAACAGTCTCGAGAATATTGGAAATCACGATTCGTATGTTTGGTATGGCTCTCGGTGGGCATGCGCTGCCACTGCGCCTTCTCGGGGGTTCAAGGGATGGTCAACCGAGGGCGGCATTCGCTGTCCTTGCCTCATACGCTTCCCTCCAATCTCGTCGGCCCCTGAGACTATTTCCCACGCCTTTACAACCGTAATGGACATACTGCCTACCATCCTTGATCTAGCACAAGTGCAGCACCCAGGAGAAACGTTTAGGGGTCGAGAAGTTGTCAATCCCAGAGGAAAGTCATGGGTCAGCCACCTCGCATCTTCTACAGAGTATCCAAACGTTCACCAGGACGAGGATCATATACATGGCTGGGAGCTGTTCGGTAATCGTGCGATACGCAGAGGAAATTGGAAGGCAGTTTTGTTGGCAAAACAAGGCGGCGACAATTGGGAGCTATTTGACGTTGAGAAAGATCCGGCTGAACAAGATGATCTATCAAAGAAGAGGCCAGAAATTTTGGAAGAAATGCTGGTGCATTGGGCCACGTACGTTGCCGAGACGGGGTTAGTGGAAGACGCGTTCTGAGGGATAGATTGCGTGATTGCGTTATTGAGGTCCACAGGGCCGAATTCCTTATCACCGCCCGCCCCAGGACCGGAAACTAGAGTAACATTAAGCTGTAATCACCTGTTGATTCCATTTAAAATCCTCACCATGACCTATAAGAAGACGCGTACTGGCTGTCTGCAGTGCAAGGCGAGAAAAGTAAAGGTAGTGAATAATATGCCCCAGACAGATGAATAACCGCTTACAGCCATTGTAGTGTGACGAAGCGGTTCCATGTACAGCCTGCGTTCGCCGTAGCTCGACATGTAGCCTTTCAGCCCAAGAAAGGTCATCACGAAGCAGGACGCGATCGCCACGAAACAAGGCTCCGGATCTGGAACCAGCCACCGACATCAATCATTTTCAACGAATTGCTCCATATCCTACAGTTGGCTTGACTGCGCATGATAGAGAGCTGCTATTTCACTGGCACCTTGTTGCTCACAAGGCCATTGTGCATCAACGAGGATCAGAGGACCTTTGGCAGCACGAAGTGATTCACCTCGCACTTGATCACCCACTTATCCTGAACCTCGTGCTGGCTATATCCTCTTACGAACAAGCGCATACTGCCCACCGATCACAAGTCAAGATGCCGGGAGATCGAGTACGACGGGATATGTACGCCTCTCTGGGACTCAAGTATTCTCAAGCCGCCGCGGGGATGATGAGACACGCAGTAGCAAAAGCCAATATTACTAACGGCCCTGTCTGCCATCTTGCCTCAGTTCTCATGATGATCAACTCCTATGCCCAAGGCTCAGTCAAAGAGCTTTTACGGGTAGAAAATGAGCCTTCTACCATGCTTAGCGACCTTCTCGTCACCTGTAGGCTCACGAGAGGTGTCAGGGCTATTGCGGAAACATATGGTGTCATACGACCAGATCGTCACGAGCTTATACTCTTTGTCACTGAGGCCGAGCCACCAGATCATGGGCCTCTCGATGACGTTCTCAGCATGCTTAACTCTCTGGCATTTCTTGACCAAGAGGATGATCCGTACACTAAGAGAATTTGTCAAGACGCCTTAGATCTGATGAAGTGGCTGGTCAAAAAGGCGCAGACATCCGAGTGGTGCCCGGCACATCGAGCATCATTACAATGGATTTGCTTAGTTGGAAAGGAATTTATGAGGCTTGTCGAAGGTCATAGGCCTGCGGCTCTTGTGCTATTCTCATATGGTTGCTTCTTGGATAAGAGTTATATTCATAATACCTTTGTGATGAGAGGATGGAAAGATGGTGTTTGTTCTGAGATTCGGGATATTGTTGGTTCGGAATGGGCAAAGGCTGTTCTGTTGTAACTTATAACAGCTATGTTTGGTGTATGGACTTACTAAACTTGTAGATACTATATGGTTGAATACCAGACTTTCCATATGTTCTTTACGACCTGAGCTAACTGCAGATGACGATTGGACCTTTTCAATTAGCCCTCAAGCAATTGCGTTTCCCCCAATAACGTGTTTTGAGGTATTTAGCTCTCGTTGCCGCTTAATGATTCCCACAGCCAAGCGCGTGATTACTTACTAAAAATCGTTCAAGAAGCCGTGCTTCTATACTGAGACTCTTGGTGATAGATCCTTTCCACTATTTCTCTCATCAAACAGTGCGTAATATACTTACCTGACGTTGACGTGTTTTTAGGTTGAGGTATAAGTTGCAGAGAATCATACAGTGTGATGTAGGCACATGGCGGTATCTGATCCTTACAATACTGTAGAAGATGTTTGGACTTGAGTGGCATCTTAATTGGAAATTCATAAAGTGTACCCAGAAAGGTTGGTACGCTGAGAAGTGACTAGCTCTCGATATTTTAGATATTTCTGCAGCCACTGCGCTTGTTACCTTCAATCGGTTGCTGCGCTGATTATTGACCCGGGCGCGATTTCACCTGGTTGTTTAGAGGCCTACTATTCTCGCCTAGGAACTCTGGCAGGCTTGGAAATGCATCCATGAAATGCACATATGCAATTACAGCCAATGTAAAAGATTGAATTCAATATCTCAAGAACTAAAGCCTATGGACACTACTGTTCTTGGTCCAACGACGGAATGTCTTGCCGTAGTAGTAGAATACAACACCAAACAGACACCAGAGGAAAACCAAGCTTCCATTAGTCATAATAGGTGGGATAAATCTATAGGAATCAGTAACAGTCAGATCAAGAAACGGGTAGATAACTTACCCAGCCTTTATACTCCAAGGCGTGATGAATTTACTAAATCCATAACCCCAGACATTTTTGTTGACTGTGATGCTAACAAATAAGCTGCCAGCAACGGGCTTATAACTATCAACAGCATACGTGCTTGAGATACTGGGGAGGGCTGCAACTTGGATGCCGGCGCAGGAATATCCAATGAGCACAATGACTTCCCATGGCCAATGGTTCTCATATCCAACCGAGACGATGATGTTGCCAAGGTACATAATGAGAACAAATGGGATCATGGCAACCAACCTCATCTCTGGCTCACGAATACCGTTGTTCCTTGCAGTGAGCTTGGCAGCCACCCAGTCAGACAGAGGACCGCCAGTGGCAAGGCCGATCAAAGCTCCAGCAAAAATAGCAAAATTGGTAAAGCCGATGGTCTGAGTAGAAAAGTTGTAAGGTGGCGCGGCAAGGACTTGGCTTTGGGTTAGATTGATGGTAAGGAAAGAAGAGCAACTCCAAGAGACGACAAAGCTGGCGAATTGGACGATGGGAAATGCGAACAGTTTCCAAGGAATCCATAGGTCCAAAAGGATAGCCTTGAAAGGATGTGGGTTTGGTTGGAAGAACCGGAACTGCCACTTTGCAGGCTTTCCCCGTCCGAGATATGGATCCCTTGCAGCCGTCTCGCTCGTTGATAGATCAGGAAATCCTTCCGGGGTTGTTCCCTCTTTTTCGGCACTGGTGACGTGCTCTGTTATGCCATCACTATTGGGTCTGGAGGCCTCGGCGTGGCTGACATTGGCCGAGCCCTCGATCTTCTCGTTCGCTCTAGCTTCCTCGATGATCTCATTTGGATGAGGGCGGTGCCACCTGATTGTTGTTAGTTGCAAGTCAGTGTGTCCATGGGGATGCGAAAGACGAACTTAGTCTCTGGGAACAGGAAGATGATGTAAATCACCACAACTGCACCCAGGGCCACATTGAACCACCAGAAGTTGCGCCACCCGACGTTGAGAGCCATGGACCCGCCGATAATTGGGCCGATCATCAGTGACCCCATGTATACGACCCAGTACAAGGTGTTCCACTTGCCTCTGTCATGTAGGAAGAAGATGTCTGGCAAGCAATTAGATATGGACACTTAACATATTCCATGTCGTGGCTTACCAGCAATGACGGCAGGTTGTATTGACTCTGCAGGACCAGCGCCAATACCATTCAGCCTGTATCATAGTCAGAAAGTGCCTTGTCAACTCTTGCTCCCGAAAACGTACACACAAGCTCCCATGAAACTGCCATAAGTCTGCGCACGAGCTCTCCAAATCATGGAGGCCAGGCAGATCAAGTTAGACGCAATGTATACCGGTCGCCTGCCAAATGACGTGCTTAATGGAACCCTGTTGGTAGTTCTTAGTGATTTGTCCCAGCTTGGGAAAGGCCCCCTCAGCTCGGGTGTTATAAACGTACCATATGAAGTTACTGAAACCAAGAACCAAGATACAGACTCCAGTGAACTGCACAGCATCTGCTAGACTGCAGTGAAACGCTTCAATGTAATCCGGAAACATGGGCGCAAGGGAAAGTGGCCCAAACCCTTGGAAAAAAGAGGTGATACTGGCCCCAGTGATAGCTAGCATTTTCCACTTAAGTGACCAGTTGAGAGGGTCTGCCGGGTCGTCTGAGGGTTGCGGAATAAGGACGCGATTAGAACCCGAGCGATCCTTAACGAAATGATGCGAAGCAACATCTCTCATAATCTCTGTGCCAGGGAGAATTTCCGTATGAAGCTCTGCCTCAATGGCATGGAGCTCCTGCGACTATCATTAGCATGTATGTTGCGTTGAATTCTTCCAAATAATATACCTCATTATTCGAATTCATCTCCATGGTGATACCGCTGTCCTCTTCTCTCACTGCTATGCTGATAGAGTGTTAAACAACAATTGGACGTCTCGACATGCTGTATTTAACATCTACTCACATATATACAGGCATTGCATTTAAATAAGCAAGCAAGGTAACTGCCGATGCTTTTACCGAATTTCAGAGCTACCTTTCCCCTCACGACTCACATTGTATGGAGAGAGGTGAGCTAAAAAATCTCCCATTTAAGATAACCTTGGCTATGACAAGCCAACCAGGTGTAATGAGCTGCTGATACTGGGTGGCCTATGATGCCGGTAATCCGTGTGAGGGAGGACTGTTCCCCGCACCCTGGCTCCCCATGGGGAAGGATGGGGAATGTCAACCAATCGTGGAGAGACTCCAACTTGTCCCCCGTGGTCTCGACCCTCAGATTGGCTACTGGCGTGCCACCCGGCAAATCGGCATGATAGTGCATTTTTGGTGCATGGTTTAGTAAATGATCGGTCATTAAGCGAAAGGGTCAGCATCGGTAGTGCTATTGCTGGGGAATCTGGGGTTCTGGCGATTTGCTGGTATAGCAGGCTTCATCAATATACGTAGCGTTGACGAGTGCATTTTAGTTTCACACCCTTTTCCGCAATTCCGAATCGCACTGCTCCTGAAGCCCCGTGAATGAGGAGTAGCTAAGCCAGTGCACCCTCAATGAATGGCTAACGTGACTGATCGGCCAGTACGTGGATGGAAGATAGGCATAATCACCTGGGTCATTACAGGTCCTTGGACTGTAGGCAAGCGTCTTTAATAATAAGCATGTTACTTTCTTTTGTGGTGAGTCTCGGTGTGGCATTGGCTCCACATCTTTTCTTATTGCAGATAGAGCCATTTATCTCCATTTAAGGAGAAATACTGTAGTGCTTGAGTTATGGCTACTTTACACCAGATGCTGCACACTGCGTATAATGAGAGGCTTATGGTCTCCTGAATTGAGATGCAGGCGCGTTAAGTAAAATAAACTTTTTAATGTTACTCTTTAAGAGTAGTTTTCCCTGCCAGAACTACTTTGTAGACAAGCACTTATCTATTAACTCATTTAGTTTCTCCTCGTCGTTAGGGCTATACTGATAGAGCAGTCAATTAATGGCATTTGTCTTATTGCCTTGTTTTTGCCTTGGCTGATTCACTCCATTATAGAACGTATTGTTATTACATTTAGTTCCTTGCAAACTCTTAAGTAAAAGCCAAGTCTTATTAAAGTCTTCCCTATGGGTTAAGGGTAGTTCTAGAAGCTGTCATTAGCCTTAAACATTTTGTAATTTAATCAGGCTCTTGTATATATTATTCAAACCTCAGGTCTAGGTTAGCTGGAAATAACTCCTCCTATGTTATTCCCATTATCTTAGTGTTCTTCCGATAAGAGGGGAAGCGGGTCTGGGGAGCTGGGACCGAGGCGCCGGCTGATGTGCACGGCTAATGAGGAGGATATTTAGCCTCAGGCATCATTAATTTTCTCCTATCCGTCATCAAACAAGGACAACCTCACACTTCTTAATTGCCTCTATCTTATCCAGTTCTCACACCCACTTGCGCCCTGGAAATTTATCAGAGACAAGTTGCGCCACGCTAACAAAATGTCATCTCTGACGCATTCGCCGAATGGCAAACCTACAATTGACGCCAAGGCGCTGTTGGGTGTATGCTTCGAGTGTTTTGTATGTTTTGTAGTGAAGCTGACATTTCCAACATAGGCATACCTCAAACAATTGCAGTCAAAGCCACTGAGGACAAAGATGCTTACTCAAGGGTCCTTGTCAGCCTTGACGGAGATTGTGGCATCGTGGTTTGCCTATGGCCTCCCTGGCCACGGCCCAACAATTACTGCCCGTGTCCCCCAAATGGCGTTTTATGGTGCGTGTGTCGCGGCACCACTGACCCACTTTCTCAACACGACTCTTCAACGAAGTCTCCCAGGGCGAGTAGTCTTACAAAACCTCATCACTATGCTGTTGGTATGTGATTACCTTTTCGCCACTGAGATTTATCAGCTACTTACCTGACTCATTACAGTTCTTCCCCATTCAAAATGCTGTCTATCTTGCATCGATGGCCGTCATTGCTGGCGCACGTACAACTGAACAGGCTCGAGCTGCAGTTCGCGCCGGTTTGGTGCCTATGACAAAAGCTATGTGCGCCATGCACCCAGTCTTGATCACCATTGCAACCGTGTTCGTACCAAAAGAGGCATGGGCCCCTTTCTTCAGCTTGGTTGGGTTCTGTCTTGGAACTTTCTTCAACACCATGGCTAAGAAGAGGAGAGTTGCCGCTGCAGCTGCAGCTTCCAAGAAGGAATCTTAGACCATGACTCAGGTATAGATTACAGACGAGGTTTTGTGTTACCGAGGACCTTTTAGCTTCTTGCGTCATGCTCCCATTCACAATACAATAACGTCATTTAGCTTCCATGACGCTTTACTTTCTACACCAACACTCAATGACCATTGCTGTAATATGGCTTATCTCTATGACCTTCCCGAGAGAGTTTGAGCTTTCAATCTAGATCTTAAGGGAACATCGTCTGTCATATGGTTTAGAACAGGCATTTTCTCTAATTTATCTTCCTTGAGGTGTAGTTTTGGTTCCTAGTGTGACTTAACAGGGAACTGGCTGCTGCTTGGTCGATATGGAAATGGTACGTCAGGGTGAATCAACGGCAAATATAATTACTCGGAGAATTACAAACCCTATCTTGAGTACTCGAAGGAAACTTTGAGAAGAAGCAGGCTAGGTTCAGCCTTGCTTTGTCTTCAAAGACCCACCGCGACTGTGACAGTACAAAGTTAGATAGCAAGGCACCAGTAACCAGCCATTTGCATTCTTTTCACGACCTCACCGACTTCTTGTGTCTGAGATTTCTTTTGACTTGGTAGAGAAGCCCGATGAGATAGAAGCTGCAGGATGAACTATTCCGAGTACATCGCCCAACCCCATCGCCAGTGTGCAATCGTTGCCCACCGTGGCTTATGGAATGAAGCTCCCGAGAACAGCTTGCTTTCCATCCAACGCGCCATTGAAGCAGGCTACAATATTGTCGAGATAGACGTACGCCGTACTGCCGATGGTGAATTTGTACTACTTCACGATGTAACCCTGGAAAGAATGACTGGAGTCGACAAGAAGCCAGAAGAGTTGACTTTGGGAGAACTGATATCGCTTCCACTCAAGAATCGCGATGGAGGCCCAAACAGTCCATTCACCGAGGAGAAGCTGCCCGGCTTACGTGATGTCTTTGAACTCACTCGCGATAAAATCTACATCCATCTCGACATCAAGCATCGGCATGTCATCCCAGATGTGTTGGCATACGCACAGAAGATGGGCGTCGAAAAGCAAGTGGATTCCTGGGCTGATTTAAAGACGAAAGATGATCTTGCCTGGATCAAAGCCACTATCACCAGTCATGACGTTCCATTCATCGCACGCACTCATCTCGAGCACGATGACTGGCAAGAACAGGCCGAGCTTGCTCTCGAGCTGAAGCCTTTAATCTGCGAAGCCTCGTTTCGAGACATCTCACAGGTCGATACAATAAAGCAGCACTTCCATGATTCCGGAATCACTCTCTGGGTTAATACCCTTGATAGTGTCGCCTCTCCAGGCTTTACTGACAGCGCTGCGCTGGAGGACCCTGACACGGTCTGGGGCCGGCTACTCAGGGCTGGTTTCTCCGTGATTCAGACTGATGAGATGGCGGCACTGCGATCGTTTCTCGACACATTGAATTGAAGAGCAAAAGCCAAATCAGTACAAGACTTGGATAGATGCATTAAAAGACTAGTTCTCATTTAGTTTTGCTATTTATACAGTCAAATTCTACCTACCGCTGGATGGCTCAGCATGGGGTTCTCTTATCATTGTGAATAACTTGATGGCATCACCGTCATCGTCGCAAATCATTTCTTTCTGGAACTTGAATCCGAGACGTCCGTAAATGGCGACGTTAGGGACATCACGGCTTGACTCCAAGTAGCATCTCATGTCCTTGGCGTCGGCCTCGTCTGTGACGGCTTTCATCAACTTAGCGCCGACTCCTTTGCCTTGAGCTTCGGGTACAACAACCATGATATTCAGGAAGAAGTAGCCTCGAGGGTCTTTCCACAGGGACGATTGGGCACTGGCTTGGGCATCTTTCCAGATATAGTAACGCTGCTCTTGGTCAGTAACTCCTTGTGTTTGGTAGGATCTCGGGCAACATACCTTGACATTTAATCCTCCACGACCATACCACAGATTCATTCTTACTTGTCCAAAGTAAAGTTTCCAGCTCTCGAACCAGTCATTCCATGTCGGCGGCTGATCCGCTGGTTGGGGACGCAACCACATCGCCACGCCCAGAACTTTATCACTGTTTTCTTCTTTGGCAACGTGAAAGATTCCATTGCGCATTCCCCACCTCATTCGAATAGCAAGAGATTCAAAGTTCCGCTGACGATCGAACTTGCATAATCATCAGCATTGCAATAGGTGATAAAAGCTTCCATAACAGATGTTCTTCACTCACTTTAGTTTGGTCATAAACCCAAACGTTATAAGGATCTCCAACAAAGGCTTGCCTATCGAGTCAGCAACTACGCAGCTAACGGAAACCTTTCACACTTACTGCACTGCTTCCACTGCTCCTGGAATATCTGCCTCTGTGAGGTCAGTGATAGAGATCCCCATTTTGAGAAGGAGTCAGTAGTGAACTGGAAGGGTACCAGCTAGATCGAAAAGTCTATAGTATAATAAAGTACTTTGCATGGAATAGGATTAAGAAAGAGCAATTCGTGGTTCCCGGGTTTCGCATGAACTTCGCCGGGATCACCTCACACGAGGCTAACTATCAATGAGATTGAAGCAAGGTTGATTTTATTACCCCTCGCAATGTTTCTTCACATGGAAGCTATTTTGTAGCTTATCTCGGATTAAGCTTAGTTGGAAATTCATGGCTTGTTGCAAGCGGGGAGATGCCTGACTCCGCCAATCGC